CTTCATGGATTTTAACTTATTTTTTGGTTTTTTCGCAAGAATTTCAAAGATTTGAAATACTATAGTATCATAAAGAGTATTCTCATTTCAAATAACAATTGAATTTTGACGAGAAACTAGCGGATATTTCAGAAATCAAAGCTAATAGTGAAAATTAAAATGTTAAAAAGAGATAAAAGGAAGAGTTCAGATTGAGATTTTTAGAGTTTTTGCAGTATAGCAAAGATAACGATTATAAAATTCAGAAAAAAAAATATGCTGTGTTGCTTCATCCATAAATCATTCCAACGATATTTTCTTCCACCGCAATTAATGTCAAAAATTCTCAATGATTTCATACACACTGAATTTAAATTCATACAGTAAGCCTGAAAGTAATACTTTATAGAATACTTTCTTAAAGTCTTTCTCATAGTTAAACGTTCACTGACAAGCTTTTTTCAGTGGTGATTTTTGAAAAGCATGTAAAATATCCTGCAAATGCTTTTTTTTTTCTTCTTTTTATTTCGAAAATGTTCACGGTCTAACCTTGCCACACAAAAAAGAAAAAAATTTGATGAAGTTCAATTAATGATATTGAAAGGAAATTTAATAGAAGACAATGAATTTTATTCTCATTATATGCGTAAAGTTATTATTTTAAAACAAAATATTGCAATAAAATTTTGAAACGGAATAAATTAAAATAAAATCGCAAATTATGAGTGAAATTGTTGTTATCGTGCATTTTATGTGAGTCTTTGAACGTGTAATTTAACTAAAAATGCTGAAAAATCATCAGTTAGAGCATAATTTATGAAAAATTGCTAACATTGGAGAGGCATAAATATTTTCTACCTTTGCTACACGAATGATGTTAAAGTTTGCATCATTAAATTGCTATAAGCTATATATAATTCAGAATTTTTTTTAGAACAGCTCGTAACTTAATAAAATATCTTTGATTCTTAATTTTATACGTTATTTAGTTTATCAGTACTATTAAAAAAAGAAACTTAATGAAACTGACAAATTTAAGAATGTGTACGGCTGCTATTTCAATTAACTAAAATGATCAATTAAATTCTGGTGAAATAATTTTCCAAATTGATATTAATTGACCTATATGCTGTTCAGCATTCAGCATTCTTATAGCATTCAATATTTTATTTTCATAGGTCATAATTAAGAAAAATCATATTCATTTCATGCCAGCACTCCTTAATTTATTATTTTCATTAAAGTTTTTTTCTTTTGAATGAAATTAAAATATAGGAATGTGTACATTCAAGAATTAATGATATTTTATGTTTTTTACGAACAACAAAAGAATTCAAACATATATGCCAAAAAAAATGTTATTATTTGATGAAAAATAATTAAATTTAAAATGCTAACTTTCACTTTATATTTCAATCGTATCTTATGCTCATGTTAAATGGTAGCACGCTGTAAGCATATGTTAGCATTTCTTAGTTGTTCTTTTTTTCAAGACACTTTAAAATTTTCCAATATGAATTTATTGAAATTAATAAGTGATAAATGTGTTTTACTAACTGTAAACATTTAGACGATCTGTATGGATATTTAATATTTTTTAAGTTATGGCGAATTGATAAGTTTTATACATAAAATGAAATTTGAATGCTATAGAACAGAGTGAAAATTCCATGGGGATTATTGAGGCTTGAAGAAAATGAGTATGTGAAGGAAGCGAATTTTATATGGCGAATGATTATTTTTAGTTCAAAACTGGCTAAGACAAAGTTGGGACCATTTGCATTAAATAAGTATCTGAGAAGCTAAAGCAATTTCAATATTTCAAAAACATAACTCTCAAACATGTTTATTCTTATGAAAAGCACAAGATAAGACATTTGGGAGATGTCATTGTAAGCTGTTACTTAAAAATAGGTTTTTGAGTTTTTCATCAAATGGAACTTTTTCAAATAGAAGTATATTTCTGTTAAGAAAATTCAACTGACATTAAATTACATAATATATTAGGTTTAAATTTAAATAACCGCTTTCGATTTGACAACAAAAATCAATATTTTAATGGGAGAAAATTACACAGTGAAAAATTGCTAAATGAAAATGGAAGCAAAATTTCGAGAGATGTCTTTTTTTCATAGGTATTTACGAATATTAATCGAAAAAGTGTTTCAGATTTGAAATGATTAAGGAATTGTGTAACACTGTAACAGCTGCCGAGTGCGTTATGATAATTTTTGTAAATGATTTATCGTGTTGTCTGCTAATAATTTCACTTTCAAAGAAATATAACCAACAAACATTTATTTTTGGAATAGCATAAACAAACAATTTTTGGGAATATTTAGCAGCGGGAATTTATTCAGCTCAAAAGAGTACATTAGAAATTTTTACTCCTTCTTTTTTAAACAAAAAGCATAAATGGAATGATATTAAAAATTTGAATTGTTTTGTCAAAAAAAAAAACATAATAAAAAATAGACCAAACATCATGCGCAAATTATGAATTATAAGAAATATATTAAATTGAGTTTTATCCAGAGAATTCATAACACCTCAAAATATTAATTCACAAATGCGATTGAAAATTTTTAAAATAATAAGCATCACTTTCTCGAATTCTATTTCAATCGATTATTAAGCTCAAAACTGGTGAAGTCAAAGTACATAATGTGACTTTTAACCCCACAATATATATGCATGTTGAATATGGACTAAATTTTGAAAATCATATAGTAAATTAGTAGCAGGCTGTTGAAGTCAACAAAGCATACATATATATTTAATCGAAATTTCTAACAAGCAGTCGGCAGAATTTACCATAATTAAATATTCTTCCTCATTGAACCGAAATTTCCCAGCAATGGAAAAGAAGCTATTTTATGGAATAATAATCGTTTGGGTCAAGAGAATGCGCAAAAATGGCACTTATTTTTAATGAGTAAAAATTTAACTTTCATTGCTAAATAGCTGAAAATGATTGATATCTGTGTTTTAAATATTTTAAATGTTATTTTTCCGGTTATTTACTATAAGAAAATTTTCTCGAATCTTAATTTTTCTCACAAGATTGTATTAACTTGGAGATTATTTTGCGAATAAACAAATTTTCTAACAAATGGTTTGAATTTTTGATACTTCATAAATAATTGACAAGAATATCACCTTAATTTTGCTTAGTTACAGCTAACTCTTCCAAATAAATTTAATGAATGGTTTGTTAACTTACTGAAATTCCTCAACTAGTGCATATTAGTTATGAAAAAGCTACTCGTATGCAACTTGCTGGTGATTACTCCAACTTGCAAAATTGCAAGGTATTTTACAATCATAAATATGCACAGTATACTTGTATTTCCAGTAGTGCGTGAATAACTATGCGTTGTAAGTTGGTTGACGAAAATTAATTGAGCTTGATCGGATAATATCGATTATTGAAGTCAAAATGAACGAACATTAATTCGGTTTGTTAAAATATCATCAACTTTTTCAATAATCAAAATTGTTCTTATTTTTGGGTTGAATACTGATATCATTTATTCCAGCAGTAAATTTAATTATAATTTGTCTTGCTTAAAAAGATTGATTAATTGATGATGCATTTGAATGCATAACTGATAATTATATCACTTCGGATATCAGATTATCCGTGCTTTCTGCAATTAGGATTGAGCAATTTGCGGAATCATTTCTCAATAAATTTTGAAACATTTTTGTTATCCAAATTCTACATAATTTGATCGAAAATATTACTCTCAAGAAATAAACACTCATTTACTGTCATTTTCTCGAGAAATTCTTGTTTCATTTCATTTGCTGCAATAGTTGAGAGTTTTTACTTCATTGTAAAAACTTGTCTGAAAATCTGTTGATTCCGCTTGAAAAATATTTAAGTTAAGATAAGCAAGCATTAGAGGCACTATATTTAGGTTAAAAAACCTCTCTGAATTTAATTTAAATAAATTTTCATTCCTAAAAAGATGAAGTGGAAAAAGTGACAAAAAGTTGGATAGAGAAAAAATGCAAGACGAATGAAACAATATTTGAGAATATGAACGATAAAAGCGTGATACTTAGTTTGAAAAACTCGTTTGAATCAATTTAAATAAATTTTAATTTTTTAATCTAAATCGTTTCTTTTCTATTTTATGTATTTTTTCTTCGAAACGTATTTTGAACGATTACAGTATTGAAGGGCAAAATATTTCAAGCGAGATAGCGGCTTTCTTAGTTAACGAATTCAATTTTGTGACTAATAATGCTAAAATGGATAGATTATGGGTATAAAAAGGAAGAGTAAGTCAAAAAATCTTTATTTTAGATTAAAAATTAAATTGTATTTTAATTTTAAAAAAAAATTTTCTAAAGATTTTTTAAATGAAACAATTACATCCTCGTAAATGTACCAAATTATTTCCCTTCTGTTTTATGTATTTCTTTTTTATTTGAAACATATTTTGGATGAAGAAAGTTATTTGCTGAAAATTTCTGAAAAGCCTTTGTTTGTAACTGTCTGAAACATTTTACATTTGTTAAATAAATCCTATTTTAACCGTCCAACGCTTTCTCTTAGAATCTGAATTGCTTTAATAAATATAAAAGAGTTTAAAACTGAAACTAATACAACCTCAAGAACAGAAAAAAGAATTGGAACAATGAAAAATTTATCAAATTTTCCCCATGTTCTAGATAAAATTTGATCAATTAAAAGTTCAGACACTTATAACCCTTTTTTTTTCTTTTTTAATAATTCAATCTATATCTTGATTGAATAATGCTAAATAATAATTGTTTTACTGATATTAAAGGTACATTTGTAAAATCTTCTATTTCTTGCTTCTAAAGTAAAAAAAAATACGACAGTGTGGAACATTTTAATAAACTATATTGAAAATGAAAAACCAAAAAATTAAAATTTAACTCCCTATCAAGTGATATTTGATATAATTGAATCGAAGATTAATCTTATACATTTCGATCATATGATGAGTGACAGAAAAATGTTGAAATTAAATTCAAAACAGCAGTTATAATTTTTTCTTTGGCATAACTTTGAGGAATTCAGGTGCTCGTATAAGCCACTCAGACCAGGAGCCAAAATAAATACTTGAATTATAGCCACACTTCTTAAGTGCAAACCATGTTAAGCTGGAACGAATAGTCGATGATGAATATATGATCACTGATCGATTTACGTTGAGCTTTCTTGAACGAAGTTGAGATTTGAGATCCAATTCATCGTGCCATTTATGTCTATGCCAATCATAAATATCTGTTGATGGAATATTAATTGCTGATCGAATATGACCATATATTGCATCCGATGAAATACCATCATATTGCTAAAAGGATAGCAAAAGTAGTGATGCAGGAATTGAAAATATTTGGATAATGAAATATCGATATAAGATATTCTATTACTATCATAAATTTAATACTCACTTCACGATCTTGTCCATCGACCAAATCACACGTTCTCAATTCCGTATTTGTGAGAACATCATCAAATGTACAAATTACCTGTTTTAAAACAATCTTTTAATATGTGCAATCTCAATAATTTTATAGTTTTAATAATTAATAAATGCATGAGCATTAAAACATATAAGAATTTTATTTAAATATTAAAGCTCCATTTGCTGGTAGTTTTATGTGATTACTGGTCAGCTATAATGCTTACAGCGGTATTCCATTTAGCTCGAAAATGACCACTACGTTGCGGGTATGTGCCATCACCACCCTCCGTCCTATATTGTGCCGAATTTTTTTTCAATTTCCTCCATTCATTAATGCCACCAGAATACAATGAAACTTTCTGATGCCCAAAGAGCTGAAGTCGAAAGCTTAATATTAATCCATAGAAATTTAAAATAGTAATTTTTATTATATAATAAAATTATTATTAACAAAATATGATCAAATTGTTAACCATCCATTACTTAAAAATTTTTCTTTTAATAAAATATAATTTTCGATCAATTCAATTTTATTACCGTAAAGATCCAGAAAGCATGTGTGGCCCAGACAACTTCTCCACGATCATAAATAATCACATAACAATCAGCATCTACGCCTAAACTTCTAACATATCGTTGAAATTGAATTGGATGAACAGGTGTACCGCTAACACTCAGATTTGCAAATTGCAGGAGACGTGCCGATTCAATGTGTTCCTCACGATATTCTTTTCTCAAAGATAATAATTCATATCATTAGAAGAGGAAAGGAATTTTTGTAATCTTGAAGAGTTTAAATAGCAAGGAGTAAAACTAACTTTGATTCGTCACTTCGATCAGTACCTGCTTCAAATAAGCATAATTTCCGTTTTGTAATTAATAACGTAAGCAGGAAAGTTGCCATAATATCGATGTTCACTTTTGATTTTATTACGTTTGTATCAGAACTGCTATACATACTTTCAGTAAAATGATTATCTTGGATCTATAAAAGTCTTAATTTTTTATAAAGAAAGCTATTAATTAATTAATTAGTCTTGTTAAATTAGATCTAATTTCATAAACCTAAAATAAAAAAATGATTCATTATAATATCATTTACTTTATATTATTCCATCAGATTTCAAATTACATACTTCAGGAATTATGAACTGTGGCGTATTTTTGAAATTAGCGTCTTTTTTTGAGTTCCAGGCCAGAAAATATACTAACGATAGGATGAACAGTATTGTTACTGTAACCAGCAAGCATCCCAATGATATCAACTTTGAATTATACCCACTTCCCTGTAATCCTCTAAGTAATCATTCTATCATTTTATTGCTGTCCATCAAGTATAAATGGTTGATTTTTGATGTGCCACAAAGTGGCCATTAAAACGTTTTCTGATATGGCCGACTTGTTCGGTATCACTGATACAGTTAATCTGTGTGATTTTTCTAATCCTTTGATCAAATTAAAATTCGAAAAGTTCAGGAGCGCAGTTATAATTGGCTGTGCAAATTTGATGTCAAATAGTTTGATACATCAACATATTTCAATTTAATCATCAAATATCCTTCTTTTTCAAAATATAAAAAAAATCTCTTAGATACAGTAAAATAAAGATGAAATTTTATGCGAAATTTAAAAATATCTAAATTTGTGAAATTTTTTTAATGAAATGGAACCTGTTTGTGTTCTATGACAAGATGCGTCGGAATAATTTTTTGCAGTGAATTCATCGGCGGCAATGGTGGTGGTATTTGTTTCTTAAATTGAAACCCAAAAAAATTTTTTAGAAAAATAAAAAAAACTTCGAAAATTTAGTGAACGAATTTTATAATCCAAATCAAAATTCGCTGATTTTCAGCTCAAATTTTAATTTACTTTTAACTAAGAGAAGCTTATTAAAAATATTCAGAGGAGAAGCTAAAAAAAATCACATCTAGCTCTAAATATTTTTTCCATATTCTTTTTCCATGAAATATCATAATTGCTTAAATTTCATGCCTAAAGCAAATTTGATTTCAAAAAAGCGAAAAATTAAAACCTGAGGATGATCAGGCGGTCTCGAATAATAATATTCAGGATCTTCGTAATCTTTTTGTGACCCTGAGATATCGCTATTATAGCTATTTTGATTGGATAATTCATTTCGAGTATAATGGAATGCTTGAGATTTAGTAAACCATTGTTCATCCGACATCGGCATTTTCTTTAACCAATTGAGCTTAGTATCTTTCCCTTATGCCTGATATTGCTCCGGTGGCTTTTGCAAAAAAACCATGAAACAATCCAATTAAATAGTAAAACGAAATGAAAATAATCATTTGATTCTGAAAAAAAATGTAAAGAATCGTAAATTTCTATTTTTTAAAGAAACGCCTTATTTTTTGAAACAAACAAATCGGAACGAAATTAAAATTACTCAGAATTTTTGTCACATAATGGAGAATGAGTGAGAGATGAAATGTGGATTTAATTATTGGTCATTATCAATTATGAACTGAAACAAGCAAACAATAAATGAAATGTAAATACGAAACGAGGACAAACAATAATGATTTTGCTCTGTGCCTGACAGATGCGCTGATATTTGAAAACACCCACAACAACAAAGACAAAATATAATGACAAAAAATGTTTGAGATAACTTTTAACAGTGTAAAATATGCAAGAGCTAAAAATCTAAAATTTTTTAATTGGCTTACAATTCACAGTCCAACTGATTAAAAACTAAGACATATAACAAATGTATCGGAGGAAGAAAAGCAGATCCCAAAAGCACTTATTTTACATTATTCATTAGCAATACTTTTGATTAACTCGTAAATTAATTAAAATCATTTGTCAAAAGAGAAATTACCGGTTCACCAATTGTAACGAACACGCATTTTGTATTTGCGTGAAAAGAATTTTGTTGTTTGATATTTTATTCGAATGAAAAAATGGAATTTTTAAGATGAAAAAATTTATTTCTCAGCTCAGTTAAATGAGGAAAAATTTTCTTTTTTTGCATGGTAATTAAGCAGGAAAGCATATTACAAATTGGAAAAGATAGCTGTTGAAAGATGGATGAATGAAATATTTTAACTGTTGACCTCTTGACCTCTTTCATGGGATGCAATATTTCATTCATAAGTGTTCGATCAACAAGACGGTGTATTTGAAAAAACGTGCTGTTAAATGATTGGAATTTTGATGTGAACAAGTTTTTGAAATTTCTTTTAATAAAGTAAATGACTCATAAAATTAGTTTGTTTTGAGATATTGGAGTTTGTGCAATAAATTTCGATAGGCTATTGTTACAATCAGAAAAATATTGAAGCTATTTGAAATAATTTGATCTGTGATTTGTACGATTTTATGAGTTGATAATTTTTAAATAACTCCTTTTGTTAGATGTTTGATTGAAGGAATTAATACAAAGCATAAAATTCAAATGATAACGAAATTCGTTTTTTAAACTGAAAATTAATATATGAACTATCTATTTGCCAGGAATTTAACTTTGTATGACTAACAAAAAATCGAATCAAAAAAAAGGAAAAAAAATAGGATGACAGTGTCAGAAAAGCGGAAAATGTCCCCTATGGCTTATTCACACTTTCCCGCTTAATGCGGGAAATCAGACGAAGACATTTGAGAGTATTTGAAAGAGACTTCGTTTATGCACAAAACTGAACAAAATCGTTGCATTCGGAACCGAGTGATAATTAAACCAAAGCATTTCACAACATTTCTTCTTTATGGAAGAGATTTCATTCATCGACAATAAATAATGACAAAAAAGCGGAAGCAAAAAGAAGAAAAATAACTGATGAAATTAAATTCGACAGTAATAAAAAATTGAATGGGCAAATGTTGTGATCACAATAAATGGATAATGATGACATTTTTTCGGATGGTCAGTTGAAGAAAGTGATTTGCATCTATTTTAAATTTGTATAAAAATATGCCTTTATAAAAGGTTTAACGTAAAAAAACGCTTACCGTCACTTGTAGATAGTAAAAAATGATCAGGAACGGTGTTAACATATTACCTAAGGAATTCGCAGTCAGTCAAATTAAATGTCACCTATGAAATAACAGTATCGCGAAGAGCGTAATGATAGTAATCGATCAAGTAACATAAATCAATTAGATTTCCTTTTTCATAAGACACTTCCAATGATAGTCAAGTGTGACACAATTCATTTAATTTGAAATACATTATTTGTATAGCGATCTTGATAAATTAACTGCTGCTACTGTTACATCAAAAGTAAATTCTTTTTTTCATTGATGAAAACGTGGAAATGTTTTTTACAAAATAAATTTCAAATTATTGAAGAAAAAAAAACAATTCATTAAAATTATACCGTTTGATAGTTGTATGAATGGAAAGATTTCAACGTTTTTTTTTTTTTTTGGAACGATAACAGTAACTCTTTCATTTCGCTATTTTATTGAATAAAGAAAAAGACGAAAATGGCGAAACATACGAAATGCTTTTTTTGAAGGTCGCAATTATTTCTAACATCTTTCTCTCAGCGCAAAAAGGAGCGGAGGATGATGATCAATTTCAAAAAATTACTGAAAATATTTTACATCGCAGAAAAAAAAATTTGCAATATAAAATCTGTTGATTTAGTATGCTCTTTTTCCCCGATTTTGGTAAATTACCGCTCTCGCAAGAAAAAAAAAGCACAATTACTGAACAATTATCATATTATTTTTCATATTGTACAATCGCCATGCTCAATCACATGCAATATGCGTCTTTTACTGTATTTATTGAGAAGGGGAAGGGGTGTGCTTTAAAAATTGAGGAGCGGAAATGTCACGATAAGAAAGGGAAAGGAATTGATGAAATGACAACAAATAAGAAAAT